TTTTTTTTTTTTTTTTTTTTTTTTTAATCTGAAGATTAGTTCAATTGAAGGAAAAGTAACTCCAAGCACTTCATTAAATGACTGGTTGGGTAGGAAGTAAAGGCTCTCCACAGCTTGTGGACCTTGGTCCCTCATTAAATGGCAAATTCCAGGAAAAAAGAAGACAGCTGAAAATTTTGACTGGCTGGTTTAATTAATCTCAGTGTTTTAAAAATAATCAAGTGCAACACTTATGAGTAGAGCCACAAAATTTACAAGAGGACATCTTCTGTGCAAGCAAAATGGGATTTTTTTTATATCTAAGAGAAGGACATTTGGATATTTCCCAGACAGTTTAAAAAGATGAAAAATGTGCTTTAGAAGACTCTCCACACATATACCTATCTACTTTCTCAACTGTACATCATACTTTTCTAAATAACTAAAACTTTAAAGAAAAATTAAATACATTTTAGCTTTTATATGCAGAGAAAGGAGGGGTTGCTTAACAAAAAGTGGGGGTTTATTGTATAGGAAGAGAAAATATTTATTCAAAAAGAGCCAACAATACTCTTTTTCTATACATTAAATGCAATTCATACTTCACAGAGTATATTACAAAGGTGTTTCTTCTATCTTTTGCATTCCTGTTTGTCTGCCTAGTGACACAAACAAGGCATGTTGTGATGTAAATACCAGTAGCACCCTTCCAGGTGGAAATGTTCTACTTCTTACCACCAAAGCAACTCACAACCTTCTGGCTGGGGGTGGTCCCATCCCACCCCAGCTGTCCATGATGTCATCTGAGATGGGTCCCTCCATCTTTAGTTGAGTTCAATCTTCTCAAAACAGTCAAATAATACCAGAAGTCAAAAAAACACACATCTGGTAGAAGAGCCCTATGCTCAGGGTGTTAAGAGAGAAAGCCTGGCCACTGCTGCCTGTTGTGTCCTCGTTGTGTAGAGCATCCTGCGCGTGGTTAAGAGTTCTGGCAAGGGGGGCTTGCAAGAAGCATCAGTTCAGGGAAAGGCTTTCAGCAATGTGACTACAAAAGCTCCTACTTACATTACTAAAGGTTTTTGGTGATCAAACATTTTCAGTAAAAACTCATTTTAGAAAACTGAGTTGCAATGCATGCTACCAAAATGAAATCCCTGTTCTTGTGGGAGAACATTGCTGAACTTCTGATTCTCTTGTGATTTTTACTGTCCAGCTGACTTTTGCTTTATTTCTGTCATAGCTCATGCAGCTCCAGTAATGCAGCTGTTGAGGCTCAATGTGTGTGTGTTGAGGCCAGTGTCTTAACCCATGTGGAAACGGTGCTCCCCTCGAGTTATGTGGGAAGAGAATTCATACCTGTCCTGGCTGTGGTAGCCACACATGTTGCATTCAAAAGGATCACGGAACCCATGGCAACCCATATGGATTGTATACATCACGTGATCCAAGAAAAGGACTCGACAGTGTTCACACTTGTAAACCCTTACTTGCTCCCCATTGCTGCTGATCACTTTGAAGGCATCCTGGGAATTGTCACTACCTGCTCTCAAGACATCATATTGCCTGTTTTCTTCTTTTATAGAGATGCCATTTCTTGCATGAGCACCTATATGGTTTGTCAGGTAGATCAACCCACTGCGCTCCTCATTATTGCTCTCTGTATCTGTTGAGTCTTGGCAGCTGTTGCTGGGAGAGACATCTCGTTCAGAGGAGACAGACTTGGCTTTGGAAAGCAGCAACAAGTTTTCCACTGTGCTGTCCTGAGGGAGGTTGGAGCGAATCTGACTGTCCCCGAGAGGTTTGTGGAGCTGATACATGGGGCTGATGACAGGCACCACCTCAGAGCCACTTGGCGGTGTCTGGACAAGGGGACGCAGGGACTCTGCCCCCAGGTAACTGATGGCATTGTTGATGGCCTGGTCAATCACGTGTGTCTGCATGAGTTCATTCTCCTTCTCGTAGTTGATGCTGGCATCATATGGAAGATCGGGCAAACATTTGTCACCTGCAGTGAAAAACAGTGAGGAGTCAGAGGGCTGATTTCTACACGATTAAGGAAATTAACATAATGGATCAATAAAACAGGGAAGAAGAGAGTTGACTGAATCCACCTCTGAGATCCACATAAGGTATTCACAGTTCTCTAATACAGCTGCAGAAAAGTGGTCTGTTGGTGGTCTTTTTTAGCATGCAAAATAATTTGAGGGCTTTGGAAAAGCAAATGGATTAAAGAAATACTGGAAATAATTATACGGGGACTCATGGGAGCTACAGATCTAGTGCTTTGTCATGTCTTTCTCCTTTCTCACTGACATCTCTCATCTGCCTCCTACAGTGAGCAGAGACACTGCCTTTGTGGCTGGTGAAGCTGGTGTGCCCACACAGCCACAGCAAGCTTGGCCTGATGCTTCAGAGCATGAAGCATATTATCAATATTTTTACCTAAGTTATTAGTCCATTCTTAGACTGGAAATTGTATGGTTTAGTTTCAGACCTTCAGTTTCTTAGAAATAACCTACATCATCAACATGGTCACATACATGTCATTTGGAGAACAATCAACAAAAAATTTATTTTATGTATTGCCACCATCCCTACACACCTACCATAAGCCATGTTAGACACATTACCAGAAGCTACCCATGTTCCTAAATATTTTGTGTCAAAAAGTTATTGTGTACAGGAGTAACCAAGAATCACGGAAAAAATTTAAGTGCATTTGTAGTTGGAGCATAGTTTTCAAGGTAGAAAGCCCTATCTAGAGCAAGATTACTTGTTACTGGTAACTTTGGGAACTGATGGGATGCCAAAAGTAATGGGTAAATCTGTTTGGTTTTTTTTTATTTTTTTTTTTAAATCAGACAACACTAATGTATATTTAGCTGGATAACCCAGTAATGAAAGCTGAGTTTCACTACAATTTCCCCCCCTATTACTGAACAGATAGGAAAACATAGAAGGGAAAAGTTAGGAGTGGAAATGTACAGATGCTGATTTTATGAACATGAGCAGTCTTCTCTAACAGTGTAAACCATCAAAGTTATTACCAGGCCCTTAATAAACTCATGCAAATGTAAAGAGGTAAAAGATTTTCACAGGCTCCTATGATCTACCAATAACATATTGTTAATAGTCTGGATGGATTTTCTAGCTCTTCAGATCTGGGGAAACACTAAAAGCCACAAACATCTGTGTGAAGTGCTATCACGATTTCCTGATCAACGTGAAATTTACTGGTATGTCTTGGAAAGTCCTAATTTGTCAAAAGAAATGCTAACAGAAGCATGGAAATTTTATCAGAAGATCTGCACATTATTTTATCAACAATTTTCCACACAGTTTCTACTGAGATTGACCATTCAAAGTCAGTGAAGAGACCAAAAACCTTTTAGCATGGCACTTCTGCAATGATGGGGGCTAAAGTGTAGGAAGTCCTGTGGTCTGCATTTCCCACAAGATATGGCTTCATACCATCTCCATGCTCTGAAAGCAGAGAAAGAAATACCCTGAGCATTGCATAAGTACCTATAGCTGCTATGCTACACAAGCTTCCAGTTTCTCTTGTTTTCTTTCCCAATCATTTTGCCAATTTGGGCTAGATTATTTTTTATTCCTGATTTATCCTTTATAATGTTATACTTTTCAGGCAGAGTCGCCTAAGATTCAAAGTACGCGTTGCAAAAGACTCTTGAATTAAATACAGAAAAACTCTCTTAACGTGAATGTATACACTTTATTCAAGGAGGAAAAATTAAGTCAAAATCATTCATATTCCATGGGAATTGCACACCACTGAAAAATTGAACTGATCTTCATTATAAACAAAATTTTGGGCATCCAGAAAGCATGATTTTAATATCTGTTTCTTGGGTAGTATTTGCTTTATGTAGCATAACTAGTTGGTAGTTGCGCTGGGAGGATCAAGTGTTCATAAGAAAAATTTGTTTCCAAGCAAAGTGTCTGAAATAGACACAAAGGTAGGGTAGGCAGGTACTATTTCTATATCTGGGCAATGCAGTAATATTTGCACTCATTAAAAATAATAGCTCATTTCTGTGGTTATTAGAGCATAAGTAAATTAAACTGCTAATGGTTTGACGCACTTCAAGGTTTGCACTGCTCAGGGTTCTGCATGAGGTACTTAAACAGTAAAAATGCACTCAGAGCATGTGGGCACCTTTTCTCTTAGTATTTTTTAATCCCTCTTTTGGTTGCCTATTCTTCATTATAGCCATATGTCAACCTTTCATGAAGTTCTCACTCTCTGTTTTGGATGGCCCAGTTCTTTTGAGTTTGGGAACTATTCCAGTTTGGAATACAGAGAGAATTTTACAGTATAACTGGCTGAATTTGTTGAACAATCTCATTTTTGTAAGGTAATTAATTTTTAGTGAATTTCATTAAAATTAATTCAATTTATTCTTGAGAAAAACTAGTAAAGCAGATAACACTCCTTCCCTTATGTGAAGGATGACATTTGCTCCTTCTCTCTGGAATTCAGCACAGTATTGGGATGACATGATAATCTCCAAGAGTAATAAACATGTACCCAAAAGCTCTCCTCACCAGCTAGCCCAACCTTGTGTTAATCAGGATTTTTTCTATTGTACGAAGAAGCAGATGAGGTTTGGAAAGGAAAGGATTTGGGAGCATTTTCTTGTTAGAAAACTTTTTCCTTTTGAAGGATAGCAAATTTCCACAAATATCTGCTGTCAGTAGGTTGTCTTCCTACACTTCACCCTGAAAAACTGACAGGAAACTCTGCCCTCCTAAAACTCATAGTTAAACTGGCTTTCTTTACAGTTTCTCAGGGTAAACAGAGGAAAAGAGAACTAAACAGCCAGTCCACACTCAAGGACACATTGCATAGTACCTTTAAATTTTAGCACTTCTGGTCTTCCTGGAGCTTTCACAGAATTGGTACCTTGCCTAATGCAGTTACTAGAGTGTCTAAACTGAGTCTTTGCCTTACATATATATTGTAGTTGATATATATTTGGTATCTATCTCTACCACAACTTTTGCTCTTTAATAAGCATAAGCATTTCTCATCCTTGACGACGTCTTAGAATTTTTGTCTTTGGACTTGAATAAAGCCTTGGAATTTAATTTAAAACATTTTGTTGCACCTCCTGGCATAGCTGAAACTCCCTTTTCCTTGTCTAGGAAATACTAATTTTTCTTTCACATTTTCCTTGTTCAAGAAAGTATATTTGTATTTTCTGTCACATAAACTGGTCTCTTTTTTTTGCCTTGACTTTTGACTGAAGACTTTCTTAATATGCATTTTGTTTCAGAAAATTTAATCTGTCTCCTAGATAATAGCATTTTAAAAAATATACAGTGAATTAGAAAAGAACCTAACTAGATATGAGTATATGCTATTCTCTGATCTCCCACATTTTTAGTTATTGAAGACCGACCTTACATACCTGACAAAATATTGTCTGTGGATCTCACAAAACTGATGTAATCCCTACTTAGACAGGCCTACTAAACAGAACAATATGGGTAGCCTTCATTTTTATAGGCTTAATGTCAAATTTGTCATTATTAAGACAAGAACTGCTACGTGCAAATGGGCATGAAGTTTTTGCATCATTCATAGAATGTACACAAAGGTCCTTTCATTTAGGTACTATTTTCAGACATATTAGTGTTAATATTCACATATTAACATATTAATTTAGGCTGTAAAAATAAACAGATTTTACCAACAGGAAGAAGATTACCCAGTCTATGCTCAACTATTCACAAATGCTTTCAGAAACACCAATATGCCCAGATCTGAATGTCATTCAAGAACTGAATAAAATAACTCTGAAGGTGTGGTCCAATGCTATCCCAACAGGAAACTTCTATACCTATCTTCAGGTTCTTAGGGCAACTTCAAGAATCTGTTCAGATTTGTAATTATCTGGCCTGTAAGCTTTTAAAAAGGCAGGAAAAAGACGTAAAATTGATCTCCAGATGTGAAAAATTAAACATGCAGAAATTTATGCTGGAGATGCTTAGGTGGGTTTTTCTTTCCCCAACACATCTCTGTATCTGCTTCTATAGAGATACGTATTGTTAATTTAGCAAAACAAGTAAAATTATAAAGCAAAAGTAAAAATGCTGTGATCTTTTAGGGGGCTTTGTTTTATTTCATTTTTAGGAGACAGCGAATGTTTAACTCTTACCAACAAATTTCTGAGGCATAGAGCTCTTACGTTTGGCGACGTTACTTGCTAGTCTATCCAGTACGAGGGCTCTTTCTGACCCTATCTTGCACAGGTCTTCAGCCATTTCACACTGGTTACTTTCGTCTTTTATGACTGAAATCAAATGACATCAGAAGGGTTAGGCAGGTTCCATTTTAATGGAACTGTTGTCTTAGGTTATTATTTGTCAGTCAATGTCTTTTAGCTCCCAAGCAGCTGGACAAAGGAGCTTAGCATATGAGACACAGGACAATTCTGACTCTCAGTAACAAATTACCTCATGCTGATTAATCTATGTACATGCTCATGTTTTCCTCATTTAGGACACAAAAGTGAGAGGCAAGGTTTCTGCCTGTATGTCACATAATCACTCCACCCTTGTTCTACAGCAACTTGGCATTTCTGTCAATAAATTAGGTTCTAACTTTATCCTAGACAGAAATGAAGTTCATCTTTCCACTCTACCACTGAAATCCCCCGCAATGTCCTTCCACACCTCTCCCAGTGAGACCCCCGTATGATAGTTGCTTCCTCAGCAGGAAAAATGGATAAACTTCTCAACTCCAGCAGTGGAAGCTACACCAACCCTTGTCTCCAGCCCCTTTTATCCTATAGCAAATATTTCAATACCTCCTTGATGGTATTTTAGACTTTAACAATTTTAATTTATAAAATCACACCTTCAGTGGAATACTGATTTCCAATAACCAAACCTGTTTCCCAACCTCCCGCTGCTGCTGAGGCTGTAGAATTAGAGGCTTAACTGTGAGGCTTTAGAAAAAGGAGGCTATCTCACTTTCAGTATATTTTACTTCAGTACTTTCCTGCAGAAACAAAAGGGATGTATGAAAATGCACTGTCAAACAATGACTGTGAAAAATGTATGGAAAGGTATTTCTGACTTCTAGTATTTAATAGGAAGGTGAATGCACTGAGATCACAGCACAACTGTTTTGCTGGTGGGGTTTGGAGGCTTTTTTGTTTGTTTGTCAAGGGAGAAAAAGGAGTTAACTTTACTTTTATCTGCTACTAAGATAGGGACATTTTTCCTGAACTTTTCAGTTGCTATTGAAGACGCAAAAGATGATTTTTATACTTCGATTATTTGAGCTGTTTCAATTAAGTGATCCCTTCTGCTACATTTTTCCTTCTGTGCCTGCTGAGAATTTATTTTATCACTGGATTTACTGGTTCACAGGGCCCATTGCTCTGGTACCTGGGTGTTTCTCAGTAGCTGAGAGCACATCATTGCAATCCAGTGTTATTCTAACAATATACCACAGCCATAAAAGGATGATTGTGAAAATTTTGTTGTTCCTGACATACACGAAATCAGTTCTGGTGGATAACTGTGAGGAGCAGGTGAAGTGTCCTATTCGGCAATGCCCTGCACAACCAAACTGAGTACACAACTGGTTCTTGAGTCCCTGCTGCAGCATCACATACTACAGTGACAGTGATAGTGACAATGAAAATGCCAGTGCCAATGACAGTTACAGGGAGTTTCATGGAATTATGTTTCAGTCCCATAAGACACTAAAGATTGTGACCAATACAGGCAATGTGAAGAATTTAGTCATGAAGGTGCAGAAGAGTAAAAGGTGATTATGGTACATAGTCACCATTGAACAAGCACACACCAGCATCTCATGCTGACCAAGGCTTTCAGGTACCACCTCAGGAAGAGACTTACAGAGAATGTTTTAAAGCAAACATTCAACAGGGACACAAAAGACCGAGCATTTAGTTAAAAGTTGCAATGATCAGGAAATATCTGATTAGGATATAGTGGCGTTCCTTTTCTAATTGGTTCAAGAGAGGGTAAGTCATGTATTCAACAGTCAAACTTTCAAACTTCTAAAACTATTATTAAAAAGGGGGGGCAAATTGAATCATGTACTAATCCCCAGCACTTGCAACTGAAACCCTCTGAAATTTGCTAACAAATTAATAACTATTTCTCTACAATTTGGTGTCTATGAACTGAAAAAAAAAAAATTTATCTTTTTAAACAAAAATTCCCAGTGACTGAAGAACTGTAATTGAAGCTTTCAAAACTTCATAAACTACTTCTCCTGCTGTTTTATTTAAGCCTGGTAAGACTTCAGCACACTTCCACTCAACTCAAATGCAAAACTCTGATAATATCTCCAAGAGAAGAATTTGACATGGACAGTGAGATTATAGTCCTCTAAAATAAATATTTTGCCATTAAATTTGTCAGGTTCCAATTTTGTGCTATATTTTCTTCTCTTAAAGAGAGAAAACACAAGTTAAAATTTCTTGTTCCTCTTACTCCCTTTTACTCTATCTTTCCCTTATTTAAGTTCTTTCTCAATTACATTTGTTAGATTTAGAAGCTGAGGGAAAGCTTCTACAAGTTTAGTTTCTCCCTACTGACATTTTTCTATGTATACTGCATGAAGTATTTTAAAAATGCTGTAAAAAGCAATCTTGCTGTGGCAGAATGTCAAATCAGACGCTCTAGCAGATACTTCTGTACCAACTTTTCTTGAGGCTGGGGAAAAAGGGGTCAGAATAATGGCTCTAACAGATCCACATCACACCTTGAAATAGTTTAAGAACAGTAGTATTATAATTACTAGCTTTTCTAGAGACATTATAGAATACACTAAAATTCACAGGACATCCACTCATTCTCAACTGTTTTTTCTACATTTTCATCATGCAAAATACTAGGAAAAATGCAAGAAAGTTTCATTTTTTAGAACAGTATAGCATTGACTTGTTAACTGAGGACTAAATTTCTTTAAGCATGAAGTCTTTGGCTGAATATGAGATTAAAACTCTTTAATTAATTTGATTTTTTTTCTAATTTTCAAAAGCAGTCCTATTATGTCAAATATGGAATATACAAGAAGAATATACAAGAAGAAATACATATATTTTAATGTATATACAAGAAGTGATTATTTCAAAGCATTAATTAATTCCTCAAGTTTTTACCCCACTGAGTTATTAGCTATTTAGTTGTAACTAGTGCAAGCTCTCTTGTCATGATTTGATATAAACAAGGGTCAGTCTCTAAAACTGTTTAATTTCTCATTAAAGTTTATGATTCCTGACATCAGTTTCATCTTACTAAGAGTTTCATAGTAGTTCAGCCACTCATTCACACAGATTTTCAAATTCAGTGTGCAGGCACTTAAATCGATGTGCCAGACACTGAAGACTGAAATCCCAAACCAGAATATTTGCTTCTAAATCCTGTTACCTCTTTGAGAAATAATTATTGCTGCTTTCTGTATATTATTACATTGAGGTTTTCTATTCATATATTCTGCAGCCCCTAAATAAAATTAGAAGGGATACTGCTCTAACATGCTGTCTGCAGAAGCATCTCAGTTGTATTCACGGCTATCATTATGTGCATATACTTTACATTATTTGATAGCTTGTAAAAACATATTCATGTTCTGTACAGATATAAAATATTAAATGAAGCATGATTGCAAAGAGGGCAGAGAGAACTTTTCATTTTTGTCATTTGACAAACTAAATAACATATAAATGACAGGATTAAAAAGATATGTAGGAAATGGAACTTACTGGCTGGGTTTAAACTCCACCAGAGAAGCTGGATCTTCTCCATCTAAAACTGCACATGCAAGAGGACTTTGCATGGCTAATCACTGTGATCAGTCCTATACAGATCATCTGGATCTTTGTTAAAAAGTATAATCCAAGCTCCAATATCTGCCTCCTCTCTTTCTGAGCATAGTTTTTTGATATTCTCCCAGAAATGGGCTTTACCTTCATCATTACACTAGTCTCAACACAGGTCCTTACCTCCCCCCAATTTTCTTTCAAAAGGAAGCTTGGGAAGAAGGTTGTCAACAAATTATTAGCCATTCTGGCTAATTTGTCTCAAGTCAAACTGCCTAAATTAAATATCTCTGGCTTTATGTCCTCTTGCTTGGCAGAATAAAATCAAAGCCAGATAGCTCATCCTTGTTAGATGAATTGATCCCAGTGATCAAGTGAGCCCTTTAAGCTGTGCCAGGGAAGGGGAGGAGATGTGCAGTGCAGATTATTCAGCCCTATCTAGAACACTGGAATTAAGTCTTGATTAAAAATACATTCACAAGTGTATTGCAATTTAGGCCTCCAAGAGAAGGTGGTGAGGTGATATAAGCATATTGTCTTGAGATGACAAACTGATGTTTTCCAAGCCTTGCAAGTGTTTTGCTACATGTTTGAATTGTGCTTTGGCTTTTTATTGGAGCTAAACAAAGTGAAAAAACAGCCAAATGTTTATCAAATAAAGAGTAAATCCAGACACAGTATCATACATACGGGGGATGTGCCTGACTCTCCAAAGCAAAAGTTGCCACAAATGGTACTATCGATTCTTTTGTCGTCCTTTCTCTGCATTTATAACAGGACAGCAGTATTCCCCAAATGGACACTTTTATTACCTGGATAGATGCTGCTTGAGAGATTCATGGTTTGAAGGTAGTTATGACAACGTTCTTTATGTTCTTCCAAAGAGCTGCGCTGTTTGTAACTGCGACCACAGTATCCACACTTATGGGGCTTGCCAACTGGAGAAAACACAAATTATTATGAGATTCAGATGAGACATTCAACAGAATATTAGCAATGGTAAGGACAAGAGATAAAAAGTCCACCCCAAAAATAAATACATGCTGTGGTGAAGGAAGATTTCATCAGTTTAAAAATCTAAGTGAAAAACAACTAATGGAAAATTGTTTGCATATCTTTACATCAACAGGCTAATTCTATGGGTGCTGCAAACTGATTTTAGATGATTCAGATCAGATAAAGACTGTGACATTAAATCTTTAAAAACTGCATCTACACAGGTTAGAAACTGAGACACCTTCAAAGGTCTGGGAGGAGTTTCTTTAGTGTCCAGTCGCACAGAGACTGCCAGTGGATGAACTGGTGGTGCAGGTAGAGACTTGCTTGGTTGGAGGTCAGTTCTGGTTTAAACAGAACCAGAACAACAGATCAACTCTTTTAAGAAGATCTTAGATTTTGCATGTTTTCTGCTTCTGGAAATTCAAGATAAATGGCATGATAATTTATTTTCTGTATTACACCAATCCAGATCTAGCTAGTTCTAGGAATTTTTCACCAAAAATACTGTTCTGTATACTTCTGGACTTTAATTTTCTGTCTTAACACAACAAGACTGTAATTTTATATGTGATTTCACAATTTTAAATAGTTACACAGTTTAATTTCTGAATTTTATTTATGGATTCTTAGGTGAAAATCAGATTCAGACATCCAACTTCTTTTATAATATATTGGTGTCAATTTGCCAATTGCAGGAAATAATCATTATCTATAGTTTAGGCATTGCCTCTTTAACTATGGAATTCTCAGTGTTTGCCAGGAGTGTCTAGACGAGATTTCATACATATATATATATGAAAAGCTATGTTTCAAATTGTGCATTCATGAAGATCAATAATAACAAGGGAGAGGGAGGCAAAATACTATATGTGTCCTGCTCAATCAGGCTGGGAAAAAAAAGGAGAAATGGAAATTATTTTGGAAATCTGGGATCAACTCTAAGGATCTTATTATTCAATACATGTGCTAGAGAAGAATTTCCCTAATTTTTTGGAGCACAAAAAAATCACTTTGAGAGCTCCCCTTCTGCCACCCAGAAACCAAAATCAACTAACACAGTAAATGTGCTAAATTGGTTTTACTTCACAGAAGGTATGTCACTGTGGCTTCTGTCAATGAGAGGCTCATGGTAATGGGGGAAGTGCATCTATTCAAAAATATTTATTCATGTCTCCCTATCACTGTTGAGAGAGACATGGAGAAACTCCGCCAGAGTCCTCTTCTGTGGAATTATTAACTTTCTTTCTCCCACCCTCTACCTTCTTCCCACTCTCTCTTTCAAAGTAGTTGTAATAACAATGTGCAACAAACAACTCCTGCTAAATGCTGTAAGCAGTGTTCATTCCTTAGGCTGAAGATGAATACAAGACTGTGTTTCAACTTTATATTATCCCTAACCTTAAAACATTTATCAACTTAAGTAATTTTTGTACTTCTATGAAATTGATTATTCACATGAGGCTTGTAAGATGAATCTCTAATACAGAAACTTTGAATCAGCCAAGAAGTATGGTAAAAATCCCAGTTCTTCTGGTGAAGGGTTGTGAGTGTGACGTGTTTAGTAATTTCTTTGCTGCTAACACGCTGTGGCCAGCTCACAGCTTGGTTAACCCCAAGATAGGGATATTCAGATCCTCAGTGTGAGAAGAGCTCTCAGGACAGTGGCCACCCCCATCTCCTCGGCGGGTATGGTGATAAGCAGCCCTGGTTATTCCAAAACCTTCACTTACCTGAGTGAGTCCTCAGGTGTCCCGTGAGGGCATCCCTGCGGCGGCAAGCATAGTTACACAGGTGACACTTGAAGGGCTTTTCACCTGAGTGCAGCTTTATGTGGCGCAGAAGGTTGCCCTTCTGCGTAAAAGAGGCTCCACACTGATTGCACTGGAAAGGGCGTTCTCCTATGGGAAGAAGGAGAAAATATGTGAGAACAAAAAAATCTTATGTGGTAACAAGAGAAAGATTTCAGGGAGAAAGTTGTTTTCTCACTGCTGCTCTGTGACTTCTACCGGCTGCAAGTTTGATATAACATGAGGCTTTCAGACTAAACCTGCCAGTTTCTTAATGCTTCACTGGCTGGGTCAATTTGATCTGAAAATCTAATTTTTTTTTTCTAAATCAGAATGGCACATCACAATGCAAATTCAAACTCATTTAAATAAAGTGACTGCAACATTTTGTGTTGAAGAGCCACTCTTCCTGATCAGCAGTTTTGGAATAAACCAATATCCAATTTTGCATGTTGTGGCATTTGGTGGGGTTTTTAATGTGGCTTTTTTCAAAGGGTCTTTAAAATATGCCACTGAAGCAGCAAAATAAAAAGGAAACTCATTAAAAATGCATTTCAGGATCACAAGTTCATTTCAGCGTTACATTCTTATATTTAAATGAAAGGCACTTCATTATAACAGTTATAATAACTTCTTTTCATTTACATTTTCCCTGTATTTTCCCTTTCAATTTCTTCTCCATTACCTGTCTGTCCCTAAGCAGCCAAATCAGGAAAGAAGCAGAGAAAAGAGAGAAAGGTAGAGAGTAAAATGACAGAAGTTAAGACAGTGCAAAGGAAGCTCTGTACTTCCATACCTAAGTCCAACACTTCTCTAGGTAAGGTATGAACAGAGGAGCTGCACAAACAGTCTCTGATGGTTTGGACAGATGTGGAAAAACTTGAAGAGACACAGCCTTGATTTGTCTAAACTGGTGCCTGTTATCAAGGAAGTGGATCAAAGCCTTTGCAAAAATTAATACGGCTGTTGTTTGCTTTTTAGTGTTGTTTAAAATCAATACGATATTTTATTAGTTTGGGGTTTTTTGTTTTCTTTCTTTTTTTTGGTTTTGTTTTTTTTTAATTTAAGATGCATGAGGTCTTTTCTGAAATCAGTGGGAAATAAAATACATTTCCAGTTGTATCAGATAGGAATAAAAGAAAAATTACACATAAGAGCATTCTATCAGCAAGAACTGCTTTTGCATGCCCTCAACTAAGTCAAACTAGTCTTTAAAACACATTTGCTGAACTTTGTTTCTCTTAGGCATCAGTTCATCCTGTTGTAGTAACTATAATGCATCATCATTAGAGACATCCCAAAAATGACTTATTCTTAGTTTTGATTTTTTTTGTGTGTAGAAATAACACTGTGTTTAAGATTTCAGCGCTAAAGTTAAAATACTAAAATAAAAAAAAATTAAATTATTTCTTCTCTCTCATTTAAACATCATGTATCATTTTGCACACCTAGGATAACCTTTTATGTCCATATATGTCCATATACGTGCAGCATAATAATTTTTGACATCTGGGTAATGCAGCAGGACAGCTGAAGATCAATTAGAGAGCAGCACTGTCCCAACCCAAAAATATGAAAACTCTGCCTTCAGGGCCGGCAGCTTTAGCATTCATCAAACAGCAAAATTAATCCCCTTTATGGCAAGACATTTTCATTGGTCACTTTTAAGCAGAGCAGCATAGTGCCTATCAAGGTAAATGAGCTCACTTTGTCCATCAAGTATCTCTGTTCATCTAAACTATTCCCACATCTGGTTCAGCTGGGATGGCATGCAAAAATGCCAGCATAAGCCTGATAGGACTTTGCAATGTACTTCTTAAGCCATGCATGGTATAATTAGGGAGAAAAGAAAACAGGCGTCTCTCTACTTCTTAATCTTTGGGACAGTTACTTAGTGCAGAAAGTTTTTTTCAGAAATGGACTGAAATAGTAAATAGAAGAAGTCAGCTCAGAAAGGGGGACACATTCAGGAGAAATAGTTAATTCTTACAAAGCAGCTTTTCTAGCATTCATTCCTGTTATTTTGACTCAGAGGGCCATAAGAAGACAAAACAAGAACCATAAAAGTACTCCAGGAATGAAATGTAAAGCAAAGTAAGAATGAAATGTATCTCTAGCCTACAGCTCTCCCAAGTACAGAGTGAAGCCTTGCACTAGGTGGAAAAGACAGAAGGAGCATTTCAAATGAGACTGCTGCAAACTAAATACTTCACAGAACTTAAATTGGGATTAGATGTAAGGAAGCCTGAACTCATGTTGCTGTAGAAGGGAAACTATGACCCTGAAGCTATGTGTAGCTTGGCTGGCCCTTAGCTGACCATGCTGCAACTACTGGGGTGAGGAATGCCTCCTTTATGAGCCCAGCAAAATTCCCAGACATGCCAGGACGCTGACAGCCACTGATGGAAGGCTACTGGGTGTGGTGATACCTCCAAAAATGTGGATGGAACAGGATGGAAAGAAAAAATATATAATTACTCTTTTTCTAAACAGTCTAAACAGTGTCTTATCATCTCCAGGTCTGCATACTACGTACCTGTCCTGGGCACATAGTCATGACCAAATATAGGCCCAGGAACAAAAACTGCAATGGAACCCTGAATTCAATCAGCAATTATCACCATTGCAGTGATTTGCAAGCCTTAGTAGGAGCTTGGGCCCTGGACTACTTATTCAGTGAAGAATACTTATAATCTTAATTAAAATACTTCTAATTTCTTAAGCAATGATAAGATCACCTAATGCTTAGAGACCTGCAGAGCTCTCTAAGTAAATCTGAGACATTCAGAACCAAGTAACAAGATGTGAGTGAACTAACTGGTAACTTAACTTAGTGTACATATAAGGAGGCCTTATATACACCTATGCACGCACATACACAGATATCCATATATATGCAAATATATGCAGAGTGAGCAAGAGAAGCCTGAATATAGCCTGAGGTTTCAGCATCAGGGAGCAGGAGTTTCTTTCTCCTTTCAAGATCTCCTTTTTCTTAAAAACCAAACAAGTCAGTGGCAAGCTGGAGAAAATGAACTGAAAGGGAAGTGAGAAGAGTTGGGCATCTGTGAGTTGGGATTTGCTCTGAAGATACAAGCAACAGGCAAGGTGCTAGGAAGCAGTCAGTGCTGTACAGCTGCCTGCAGACAGGAGAGGGCAGAAATATCAGGTGCTGCTCTGCATATCAGCACTTGAGAGGTGTATTCATTAAAAGCAATTATGTCTTTTATCAGGTCAGGCAGTCATTTTATTTTGGCATTTAGTGTGCTAGAGTTTTGTTCACTTATCAGATATTTATTTAAGAAAACCTCACTGCATATGCAGGTTTTACATGAATTAGCAGCAAAGTAATTCATTTATGAGGCTTATTCCTTCACCAGGCGTGTATTGAAATGGGCTTCAGCATAGTAAGTTAAATGTCTGTAACAGTATATCCCATTTTGACTTTAATTTTCACAGCACAGCTGAAAGGAAAAGCAGTCACCACTGTTTCGCCATGACATCCCCTTATTTTAAACTACCAGCTCTGAATTACCACTCCTTTGCCAGCCCCTGAAAAACCACCTGAGCTCATTCAAAGAGGCTGCTCAGGATTGGAGGTGAGGATGAGGTAGGTGGGAAACCAAAGGCATTCTTTCCATGGAAGGACCCAGGGACAAAACTTCGCACCCTTTAGTTTTATTAAGTATAAAGGAAGGGGATCTCCTGAGCAAAGTGCCCCTTGTGGGGTGCTTCCACTGTAGGCTTGAACTACATTCCCTTATTAAAGAGAGGGTCTAGTTGGGAAGGGAAGAGCTCTGCAAAGGGTGGAGAAATCTTCAAGTGACAATCCTTGTGTGGTAGCACCCAAAGCACCCTTGGCAGGCAAATGGGTCCCTCTGCCAGGCAAGAAGTTCGGGGAGCTGAAGGTCTGTGCTGGGGAAATGACCTGGCACTGAGCGAGGTGGCCCCTGGGGATATTGTCACAGGGACCAGGCAGCCCAGCTCACCCTCAAAGACAGCAGGCTGGGTACCAAGGAGTGTACGAGAAACAAAGGCAGCTGTGCCCACCACCTCCCTAAAGGCAGGTATGTCCTCACACAGGCCATTCAGCCCTGGTGCAAACACTGCCATGGACCCTTAGGAACCTGAAACAGCTCCTCTGATCCAGCAACAGTGGGGGCTTTTTAACAAAAGAGCAGTCTGCTTAAACAAGCACTAAGACTTCTACCTCTAAGTACATTTCAAGTTGCAACATATTGTTTCAACCACTACAGCCTCCTCTTCAGCCTGAGGGTCTGTTTAAAAGAACTCACACAGAAGTAAATTTACATTTTAATTTTATAGAAAAGAAAGAAAAAGGAGGGGAGGGAAGGGGAGGGGAGGGAAGGTGCGGGAAGGTGCGGGAAGGTGCGGGAAGGTGTGGGAAGGGAAGGTGCGGGAAGGGAAGGTGCGGGAAGGTGCGGGAAGGTGCGGGAAGGGAAGGGAAGGGAAGGGAAGGGAAGGGAAGGGAAGGGAAGGGAAGGATCAACAAGCACTTTGTTATATCTGGGAGGTAGGCTACAGCATCTCTTCTGAGTACTAGTTGTGGCTTTTCCAATAATTATCTGCTCTTCCCTGACAGAGGGATTTATTACATACAGTTGAAGAGTACTTTGAAGCAGGCAATGTAACAGCATTGCTTCTGAACATGGCTAATCCATGTTACACTAGCAGATCGAAGGCTTCCATAGCTTGAACAGACACAGTTACTGTGACAGACAGTAACACTGAAGGCAATGGAATACACTCAGGGGCTTTTCGTGAATACTCTCCATTTAACTCTGAAAGCATTTTGTTAATCTCATTACTTAGTAATTCTGGGAAAGTTATTTAAGAAAGACTTTGAGGAAGAAAGTATCTATGTGTTTATCTCTGACTATTTCAGTCTAGTGTAACTATAAGACATTCTTACCTTAAAAATATTTTAAAATTCCCTCTCATTGGAATATTCATGTAAAAATGCCAAATCCCCAATTTATTTTCAAAGCAACTTCTGTGAAACAACAGTACAGTTTAGTTCTTCTCTTTTATCCATGAATGACATTATAGTTTAGATTGGAAGCCTAACTTTTAGAAATATCAGGCAAGGTGAGACTCACTCTTTACTTTTTCATTTCATTTCATACTTTTTACTTGTTTCAGCCTCTTAATTTGTGGCCCTCTTTGAGACTAATCAGAATTAGAAAATTGAGGCAAGAATATTCAGAACACTTTACAATGAAAAACCATCCCTATGGAACACAAAAATTTACGTGTCTCTTTTAGTGTCCCGTTCAGTGCACATTTGACCCACGACAATACTTGTTTTTACTTTGTGAAACACTGGACATGAAATGTAAGTATTTTTTGACTAAGTCTGTCAATACAGTTCTCTTAATATGTATTTTTCCAATCACTATTATAATCACTGATCCACAATGAGCTTTGCTGTTTTGTTGGAAACATTACAACTGGGTTAATTTCAGAGTTAGCTACTAATGGGTTTTTCCTCAGCAGTTCTTAAAAATTTCTTAGAAATTAAACAAGACTTGTTTAATTTTCTTTTAAATTTGATTTTTCATTTTTTTTTTGTTTCAAACCAAACAAACAGCATAATTTCTAGCCCAATAGATGGACCTCCATGAATAAGTCTCAATTCTGGTGAAGGCCAAAAGGATGTACCAAAATAATTGATTTCCAAAGGCTCACCAATGCTACATTACCTTACAAGAGGCAACACATGCACGATACAGAAAAAAAGTCTTAGTTACTAATATTTGGCCATTTCTTGTCAACTACAGGAAAAACTATGGCAGGCCTTACCAGTGTGGCTTCGTTTGTGAACCATGAGCACATTGGGACCGATGCAAATTATCCCACAGATATCACATTTTAGCTTTCCATTAGGAAGTCGAATGCCTCCAACTCCTGACAAAGCTTTGCTGCCTGAGCCATTGTGTGAGCCATTCATTTTCTCTCCTGCGGCATCAAGCATTCGTAAATCCTCTGCACATTCTTCCCCATTCAATTCACAGGCACGCCCATTCTCTTCATCACTCTGAGTTTCTATTTTTATATTACCGGCTGAAAGAAACAATACAGGATGCCACTCAGTTTGGTTACAGAACAAATAATGTGTCAAAGAAACAATCACATGAAAGGAGTTAACTTCTAAACAGCAGGTACAAAATTACTAAATAACAAATGCTATGACCTCAACTATAATTCTATGGGCAATGTGGGGAGTTTGTAACACGTGGAGCAATGAACAGTGAATATCAGTAAAACAAATACAAGGCACCCAGGGACCTGGGAACCCAAACAATATTACAAATCTGATTCTAGGTCTCTGCGATTTTTTGCATTTCTGGCTTTCTGACAATCAGGTCAATTGGAATGAAAGTTAAAATGAATCCACTTCACAGGGATTTGTCCAAAACAATTGTAAAAGTAAGTAACTCAATGGATAAAAATGAACAGAAAATGCAACATTCTCCACTTGGCAGGAAGACTCTGAGGGCTGTACTGAATCCAAATTTTTGGTTTGCAGTTCTATGGGGTAAGCAACAACAATGGGAAAGCAGAGTACAAACACTGATAAAGAAAGCAGGGTAGGGAAGGATGGAAGAATTTAAGGATATTAAAAGAGTGACAGTTGTGTTTCTGGAACAACAGGATTAGGATTGCTGAGTAATAGAAGACAATAACTAGAGTCAGAAGCTATGATTAAAAACCATTCAAACAAAAAAAGGTGTCTGGGAAAACTGTTATTACTTTATTGGATAAATCCTTTTCATTTTAATCCCATAGGTGACAAGTGCTTGCAGTAAGAAGAATTTAGGTGTAAATTTGCCATAGCCCTACAACATGTGATGACATAAAGGCTAGTAAATTTGATCTGCTATGAACAGAGAAAACTTTAAGGAAAAGGATCAAGATTCAGACAAGTTCATGCCAGTATTCATTCCTCTTCTCTCCACAGAATTGTATGATGTTTTACGTAGAAAAAAATAATCCTGGCTGTTATTTCTCTCTTTTCTAATCCACGATTTTGGTGAAAAAATACTTCTTCATTAGGCTGAAAAACATCATTTTGTTGGCCAAAATCTCACTTTCTATACAGTAAAAATCCCTCTACCTTCATTCCACCCCACCCAAAAAGAAGAAAGAATTTACTTCAGAGGGTAGCTAAGAATATGAGGGAGCTGTTTCATCCAATAAAGTCCAGGTCTTGTCCTTCTGTGGAGCATTTTCATGGCAACCTCATTCAAAAGCAATGGTGTAGCAATGTGAGAACAATGAGCTACGGACAATAATTACCTCAAGAGACTGAAAGACCTTCAAAATACCCCTTTGAAATGGAGAGGATTGAAAAGCTCTTCTCTGATACATCCTGCAACCTCACAGGTGTCCCAGAAGGACTGCATGGATGTAACTGATGAGAGTATCTGACTCAAAGTCCTACTGGGGAACAGAAGCCTAAAGGTGTTCACATTTATGAATACTGTTTGATGGGACACCGCTTAAAAAGTCTACCAATCTAGGTATTTTAATGATTTTTTCAAATATTGCACTTTCAATAGAAATCATATGTAAAACAGAGTAAGTGCATATCATAAAAGCAGTTTTCCTTTAAATTGTATGTTCTAAAAAGGGGAATAATTTAGTGATAGACAAAAACAAAATCAATGACCAAACAATGACTTAAAAAGACAGTATGACTGGTTAAACAGAAGTGATTCTGTAAATTTAATGGGCTACAACTTCATATTGCTGTTTTCACCATGGCAAATGGAAGGAATAGAAGTATTTGGCTTGAGTATATGACAAGATTTTCCACAATTTACAGCTAATTTTTTTCCTTTCAGTTATAAGAATAATAAATATATATTTATACTAAAAAATTATAGGCTCCTTGCCTGCCAGGGATTTGGAGAAGGTGGCTTTTGAAGCAAATTTTCTATTAAGTTAAAACAAAGTACTTATGAACAAAACAAAAAGCTCAGACTACTTAAGTGCACACAGACAAACATACGTTATTCAGAAATAAAATGACACAAACAAAAATCGTAAAAGTAGGAACTAGATGGAAATGCTCTGTAGTGAACTGAGTTTCAGTATACTTACTGGAAAAAGATTTGGGAATTATTGCATGAAAGTCCCTAAAGCCTTCCGCCCCGTATGCAGCTGCAATAAAGAAGGCAAACAGGATGCTGGTTTGTGGTACTGCTAGCAGAAATGTAAAAGAAGATGGCACTATTGCTATAAGATAAATACCTAGGAGAAAGACAAAACTATCATCACAGAAGCAACATAAGCAGTTTAGGACAAAGGAGGAACAGGAAAAGGACAGCTGGCAGGGGAATCCTGACTTGTCAAGAACAATTCCCATTTGTGAAAATGCCCTTTTCTTCCAAAGCAGCCAACAAGTTTTATCATGTTATCTAGAAGCATAATATGCTCTTGGGTGTTCCCCTTGCTTGAGCATTAATTCCTGCTGAAGAGGAACTCTTGCAAATGGGTCTCAAAAGGATCAATGCAGGCTCCTACAGTGCAGCTTCTTCAGAATTTATTTTTTGTCAATATGCACTCTGTCTGTGACAGAGATCTCTTCTTTACACATCCTTGTTTCTAGTCTCTCCAGTTATAAAAAGTGAAATTGTATTGTTTTATTCTCACGCCTGCTGGTCTTATGCAACGGAAGAAGAGGAAGCTCAGGTTTACATAAATATGTGTTTATTATTGTGTATATTGGCATATTTTTGGTTTGTATCTCTAAGGCTTGTCCTCACAATGTATTTATAAAAAGCAGTTGTACAGATATATTATGCCCTGCGTATTATGAGTAGCCACATACAAATTACCAGGCCATTGGGCATGCTGATACAGGTAATGCTGGAGTTCATTACTTGACATAAGCACTGACAGAGGTATTGATCCAGCCAATAGTCACTAAAGCTCTCCACAGCTATGTCCTGGACTGCTGCAGCTGTACTGCTCATTGAATATCCCCACGAAGACCAGGCTGAGTGTCCCGGATGTGCATTCATTCGGCAGTGCAGCTCATGACAGAGGCTCAGTTCACATGCAGAGTTCACTTTGCCAGTGAGAGCTGATGGACATTGAGGGCACCTAACTCACCCTGGATCCTCACAGAAATTTTATAGGTCTAATGAAGAAAAAAAATCTCTCCCTGTTCAAACTTAATACTTCTTGCAAATCTGTCTGCAATACAAGAACTAGTGGAAAGAGCCCCACTGATGCAGGAGACACAACAGGAGAGGGAAATAATTCAGTAGAAATGCTAAAGACTTTTATTAAATCTGAATAATAGGGATAGCAGGGTACACTTCCCCCCCCCCCCTGCCCCCGCCATGGGGACTTATACTGGAAATAAAAACCATCAGTGTTTTCTACCTTTGTGAGAGTGATTCTTGCCCATCCCTTTTTATAGTGGAGAAATCACTTATGGAGCAAAAACAACGTGAAAAATACCATATTTTTCATGTGCACTGATTAAGAATATTCTCACACTTTATACTGATTTCTGAAACTGTTACCCGATACAGTTTTTGTAGAAATTATTTCTACATACACACATAGCTATGTACACACATATGCAGACATTAATTAGCTTTAAAATTACTCATGGTAATAATTTCTCATTGGGTCTACTAACGCCATTAAGAATTTACTCACTAATTAATTTACTTCAGTTTGGTTGGAGGTGACTTTAAAAGGCCCTTTTTTCTATTGAAGGGGTACAGAGTTCTTTGATGTCACTGAATTGATAGCTTTTCCCCACTCCCCACTTTTTTACCTTTCCAGAGTGTGGAAAAATTACCCAAAAGCAGGGCACTGTCTGGGTCCCTTGTGCTCTCTTCTATATACTGGGAATTTCACTCTGGATTTTCTGAAGAGCATTTTAAATTAATGTTAAAACATCTGTTCAGTATTCTACAGCTAAAGGTGATTTATGTAAGTCACAGAAAAAATTAATTGATATGTCAAAGGGGAGAGAGGTAATGATATAATTTATCACTGAAGAGCAGTGTTGCTGGCTCTGTATCAGACTTAGGCTGTAGCAGTCACGAAAGCAGGATGGTATGAGAACAAACAGCGTCACACTTCCCTGAAAAGAGCTGAGCAACATGGAGATGGAAGGGAGGCATTTTGCAATGAGTGAAAGAGTTGATAGTAAGCAGAAAGGAGAAACCAAACAGACCTTCTGGGAAGCTGGACGTAGAGGGTGGCTTTCGAAGGACAGAGAAATAGGCAGCTGGAAAAAAGATGCATGGGAACAATTAGTAATTTGTTTTCAATCTACTGCCAATTTACCTTCTCTTTTAGCTATGGGACTCCCTCCCAGCTGCAAAATCCTGTGAGAATTTAGCAATGCCACTGTTCTAAGTACCTGGCTCATAATTCTGTTTGGAAGGGGAAATTCATCTTTCAAGTAATATTGTTCTCCAGTGAGATTTTTTAAGAAGTAAAAAGCATTAGACCTGGATATCAAAGGTGCTTAAAGAGTACCAGAAAAATCACTCTGAAGCTTCTGAGACGTTTAAACAACAGAGTTCCCTTATTCCATTTGATTTTTAATGGGATTTAACTTTTTATCCCAGTAAGTACTAAACTGTAGCTTGTGGCATATATCTGTCTTTAAGAACTTATCCTTTAGACTTTCTTTGAAAATAACCCAGATAATTTGGTTTTGTGTCATGCAATGTCTTGTTTGTACTTTGTAGACAAGAGCAGAGAAAGATCTCTTGAAGTTGCTGCAAATAGTTCAGGTTCATGTAATTTTTTGTTTTCATGGCTCACTTGTTCTTCCAAGAACAAGTTGATATTAGTTGATGCTTAAATGGTACCTTTAAAATCTAGGACTTCTCATGAAGACATCATAACTATTCAACCAGCAATCATACCTGATTGATTTGAACAGTACCTTATCACTCTAACGGTGAGAAAAAAAAAACTTTCACACCAACCTTTCTAACAAATGATAGAAAATGTTGCTAAAAAGGCAGAATAAGATGAAGAAATCCCACTTATCAGGCCAAAATGAATCACCTCAGCATGCCAACATGTCAATAAATGCAGGCAGGATCTCTTCTTCTTTACATAGGTACTCAGAAAACAGAATATTGTCAGCAATCCCACCTATTATTCCTGATACAAGACATAGCAGCCATTCTGTTTTGCAACAGCATATGAAAATTTTAGCACTTGGCTTTATGCACTGAAATCCTTCCCCCTTTCCTTTTTACATCATGGTCATTTACTGTGGTGTCAGCTCTGTTCTTACCCTGCAAGAGCACTGCAGGTGGAGGATGCCATTTTCAGAAACGAAAGTTGTTTTTCTACAGAATATTTAAGGAGACATTATTCACCAGCCAGACTTGACAATAAACAATGAAGGACAATTCTTTAACTTAAATTATGTTTCCATTAATAGTATCTTTCCCTTATGAGCTCTGAAGCAAGAAGAATTGTGTGGGTGTGAAAAATGACAACAAAAGATCTGGGAAGAAGAACCATAATGCCATGTCTTGTGCTCTTCCTCAGTATAATTCAGATGATACAACAGAACACAGATGGGACTGATCAAACTAACTGTTTATTTAGCTACAGAAAAAGCAGATGTGCCCAAGTGCTCTTAAAAATTACTTTTCTTCTCCCTCCTTTCTACATATAGCACTGCATTGGCCAGTTAGTCAAGCATTGTGGTATCTCTTTGTGTAAAATGCTGAAAGTTAGAGGGCATTTTCAAAGGGAAACAGAAAAAAAAAAGTAAGGATGAATAGTAGCAGGAACAGCTGGGACACACCTGCAGGTAGAGAAGCTGGTGCTGACGGATAAGGAGATCCTCTCTGCAGGGTCCATGCTGCTTCCTTTGACTCCAAGTGCCAATCAGCCCTTGGCAGCCAATTTCTTCTCTACTCTAATTCTGGCTTTCAATCAAATGGATATTATTCCAGAAACACAGGCGTCCACAGATAAGCTATCTCCCATGGGACAACTGGTGTGAGGAGCTCCACCCATGCCATCACCCATAGCTGCTACTTCTCCCTGCTGCTGTCTGGGGGAGGTGCTCAGCCCACGTGCCAGCGCCAGTGCCTGTCAGTATGCACAGCCTGTCCTCAGGAGGAAGGAGCAGGGAACTGTGCTTCACTGCATTGCAAAGCACATCAATATGTTTTTCTAGGGGCTGCAGAGAAATCAAACTGTATGGAATCAAACAAGTGAACAAAACAACTAACAAAGTATGTCCTCTCTAGGTAAAAAAGTGGCTTTTGGTCCATTGTGCATTCTCCCAGTAGCCACCTGTTAGTTACCCACAGGGATTTTCTAAAGGACCAGCAAATATGCATTGGTTAAAGACAGATTCAAATAATGCCCTCAAATATACACCTGAAGATATGAGCCTTTTACGTAACTTCTAAATTTCTTTTCAGTAGGAAATGATCTGTAACCAAACCAAAGGGGCTGGTCTAGTACATATTTCTTGTCTTTGTTGTGACACTTGCTGGTACATTTTGTACTAGATTCAAGTTGATTTTCCAAAGAAGAGTTAACTACCTGGCTGCTTGATGTTCATCATCTGAGGTACAAGTAAAACTAAATCTTAAAGGCAAGAGAAAGAGCGCTGTCAGGAAATGCCATACTAAACCTGTTTCCCAAGTTCTACATGTATGTGTAATCCATGCTTCCTATATTGGAAATGCTCTGCTTCTTTTACTGGCTGCATGATGAAGTAGCAAAGGGAACTGCTGCAGGTTTGCTGGTAACAGACTTTATTGACCCTTCTCTGCTTTGAGAAGTAAGCTGGGAACACTTTCAAACTGGAGAGAAATATTTGCTTACAAATTATAGTAAAAACAGCACTTTTCATCCGTAAATTTTTTGTCTCTTCTGCTTTCACCAGATTTTTTTAACATGGGCATTAAAGGATGAAGGAGTAGTAAAAGGAACCTTAGCAGGAAATCTTTAAAAAGCAAAGTAACCTTAAGTAACAATGCACAACAGTGAGGTAAAAACACTACCATGAAAACATCCTCAGGTCACACAGGTGTGTCTGTGAATACACATGCTTATGTGCCGAAACGGGAACCTCTGAAGTGGCATTCTCCAAAGTCTACAGGCACAATCATTGTGGCTTATGCTCTTCCCCACACAGCAACAGTTATCCAAGAATAGCAAAGCCTCAGATGTATGATATCCTAACATTTATAAGGCATTCCCCACAAAGCATGCTTTAGTGAAAGTCATGGGTGCTAATCAATCCTCAACTAATGAAACAAAATTCTAACTAAAGGCAGTCGCACATGGCAGCTGGGAGAACATGAAGGGAGTATCCACCTTCAAAGATTAGTGTTCTGGAGAAGAGGAATGCCTATATCCAAGATTCAACAGGCAGACCAGAAGCTCCACAAAAATGGAAGAGACAGCCAGGCTCTTCCATGAAGCCATGCTGCCAATGGCTGGATGTTGTCCTTATCTGGGAGTTTCTGTGGGCATACCTTAACAACGCAAGGGCTTAAAAAGTGCAGAAACATGGTTAAGATCAGACAAAGTGATCAGTTACATATAAATAATGTGAAGTGTAGTTGGAGGGGGAGCTTGACGAAGAGAAAAGCCTGTGAAATCTGAACACACACACAGTGTATTGGTCAGGCACCAGATGAAGGCAACAGTCACTGCCCTGAAGAACAGAGCTACCACTTGGGAGCAAAGAAGTACCCTTGATTCTGTAGTTTAGGGAAAGGCAGGAAGATGAACTATTTTGTATATTGCTTCAGAGAACCTAAATTTGCCTTGCCCTGAATGCAAAGTTAGCCCTTCTTTGCAAACCCTCCCCTTTTCATATACCATTTCAGTGAGCTGCTTGCATATCCTTATTTTTGTGGCTGGCGTGGCACAGAGCTACCCTGGTTCAGAGTCAGGCCCTTGCAAGTCCATCCATGTAACAAGTCACGCATGTTAATAATATGCTGTGCCTTCACTATCACTGAACGGACACAGGGGCTTTTCCAGGGACCATTCAGCTGCCATGATGATGCCTTGAGCAATATTTTATGCAAATATACATAGTTCCCCATAGCTGTCAAAGGGTCAGTATTTCTAAATTTAGACTAAGCAGCTGTGTTTAGGTTTGGGGAGGTGCTTTTGGGTGTCGTGCCAAAGCTGTGCACTGTCAATGTCCTCTTCTGAGAAGAGGTCAGAGGATGAAATGGAGAGGAACCCAGCCATTTCAGCACTTGGGAGGGAATACACTATGAAAATTTTATTATCTTGCCTAGTCTAAAAACAAATTGCAGAGCAGAGTCTTCTGTGCTGCCCTTACCTGACACAGGGAAAAAAAAAAAACACAGGGATATTGAATGTTTATTTTAGACTAAAGCAAATAAAATACAGTCATCATTTTATGAGTGATAAAGTAGACATTCTCTCTGAGGACTGCCCAAAGAAGTTGATGCTGAGTTATGAAGCCTGCTTTAGGTCTGTTAACCCTGAGTGCTCAGTTATTTTTCTAGATGCTATTACAGATTATTCTTTTTGGCTTTTAGAATTATTATGAAAAAGTTTTGCAATCTAAATTGCTGTTTACTTGTTAAGAGTGTACTCAGCATTCCAGGAAAAGGAAATCCTAATCTACATCTTCTGGGGAAGAGGCAATATTTTTTTTACAGAAATCTCAAATAAATTCTCTGAATATATGGACATACCTGCTAGCTCCTGAGGGGAAAAATGTCAGGACAATATAAATTCCTTCTTTCTGTGTATCACAGGTAATGCTTTGCTACAGGGACCTGTATTCCCGTTCTGGCAATCACTCTGCTATGCTGAAATGGCAAGAAACCCCAAATGATGCTGGCAGACTCTCAAGCACTCAGAGATCTGGATTATTCTGAAAGTCTACAAACTCAGTTTAGTACAAATTTTTAAGAGACTTCTTGTCTTTCCTCACTTCTTGACCATTTTTTATGCTTGCAGTTTTCTTGCTTTTACCTCAGGAAAAAGAAGCACACCTTCTCTTTCCTGAACAGAATCCATCCTTAACCATACTGGTGCTATGATAAGTCATCCCTGACATTGGATGCCTCTTCTGTGAGGCATACAACAATTGTAAAGTTGAATACTGTCTTCTTGGGTCTTTGAGTGCAGAGCTAAGAGAAAAACCTAGATTTCACTAGCTTTCTGAAAAAGCTGAAGGAGATAATATTTTAAAAAGATCCACTTCTCAGAAAGATGTGGAGAAAAATGTCAGAAATTAAG